TCATTATGTAAACACCATTTTCTTTCCTATCATGACAAGGGACGCATGACAATACAATATCATGTTACCATTTACATGAAATCTAAGGCATATTAATAAAATAATTCATTAATGTTATATCAAAGATCAGAGATAGGAGGCCACACAACATGTGTAACACAGCCCCCTTCCTCTGTAACATTCTTCCCGAATTTTGTGCATGTGAGAATTCGCGTATAGTAATATGACTTGTTTCTATTGTCTGTTTTAAGTTTATATACAACATTTTATGGGATAACAAGCAATTCAACATGTTCAAAGCATTGTACAACAAAATAAAATTTCAACAATTATAATATTCAAGCAACAAGAATTAAACATATCAAGAAACATGGTGATATAGCATCTATACATTTCTATAAAAGTAAAGTTTATACATTAAACTATATCATTTATCAATTCTGTAGAAAGTCCACATAGTTGTAGAATGTAGGTCAGTCACTGCAGCAGGGCAAACTTCAGCAGTGGTTCCACGTGTTTTGCAAGATTGTCCAGTTCGTAGAAGATACACTCTTGATAAAGTTCCTTTATGGAATAAAAACTGGTGGGTATGATGATTATGGACACACAACATCCATTTCTGAGGATATCCGGGATAAGTGTTGAGGGTTTCGGTCGACAAAGAACTGATCTGAAATTTGGGTTCAGAGAGCAATCAGCAATGAAGAAAGATCCTCCCGTATGTGAATTTAACTTTGTGGTTGTGAATCTGGTACCACCAATGTTCTAATTGATGTCTTTCGGTCTGGCGATAATATTTTTGACTCTGGGTTCCTGTTTACTTGTTGGTTTGTATGGTACAACTGTGTTTACCGGGATCATGCACTCCTGCGTTGGGTCAATGATGCCAACATTGAGGACTGAAATTTGATTTGTTTTTGAGATATATATGTACGTACTCCATCTAGATGCACCTGTAATCAAATGTTTTGGGGCATAGTTATTGCTCTTGCTATCTCATTTGGTACAAAGATATTTTTTCATGATCATGAACTGACACGAGAGGGCATCAGTGTTTCAAAAAAACATTTTGTATTTAGAAACAAACTTTGAAAATTAATTTGTTTGTTAGTGGATAGGTGGAGTTTAATGTCTAAAAAAAGTGCATAAAAGCACTTCAAATAATTTTTCATTCTTTCATTTAACAGGTTTTATACGAGGGGTTATCAAAAAGTTCGTGGACTGAAGCTATAAAATTAGAAATATGTAGTCTCTGCTTACAAAAATTATATGGAACATAAAACAACAAAAAATAAATGTTGAAAATTTTAGCCTGATACGTTCATTATTTGCCAAATTATTATAAAATGAAAACGACATCATATGATCACCCGGCGCTGTCGTCGTTTATTCTCATGACGTCCGATTACGTCAATGTTTTTTCAATGTCCGCTTCTTCTATCTCATACATTTTTTATGAGATTCCCTGGAGCTGAGTACAGATTTAAACACGTCTTGTTTATATGACTTTACAATGTCATGAACAAAGGCCTTCAATGAATATAATATTCCAAATGGATTATTACACTGGGAGAAATCCTTGCTAGATTTTGCCAGCATATTTTGCTTTTGGGAGTTCAATATCAACGTCATTTTTTGACGTGATTAATTTTCACACCTCGACTGCATTTCGACGTTAACTGTACATATATTTTCGCTCTAAATCTATTTTGCTATAAAATACAAGTACTCGGGATGCATATTATTTCTCTGTAGCCAGTTTTAACAATTTTTAGGTCTATATATACCAGTTTTTCAGGGGCAAAACTTTATAGAATGTTAGAAACGGTCACCCCTCCACCCTTTTGACGTCATTTGTTTGGACATTCGGTGTAAAATTTATGATAAAAATTCATAGAACTTCCAGAATGATGTGAAAATTCCTTATTTTGTGTTACAATTGTGTCCCGACACATACCTGAATTAACGGAATTTATGGATGTCGAATGATCATATAAAAAGAGTTTTTCTCAGTTACACATAGGTCGCAAAAACGTCGTATTCGATGTTGCGCCACCCGAGCATACTATTGCTTACAAAAACGTTACTAATTTGTCAAAAAATAAAATTTATGACTTGTGGTTTATTCTTTTGATAGAAAAGATGATGCTTACTAGGTATTCTAAATTTCATTGATGTACCTAGAGCGGTTTTAATCTTATGACGCTAGTCCACGAACTTTTTGATAACCCCTCGTATTTAATCCACTTATTAAACTTGTTTTGTATTTTTGAAGGAAACGTGTCTATATAATGTTAAAATATTAATAAAACATACTACATGAATTTCATTTAAAGCATTGTAGAAAAAAAATCATCCTTTTTTTAATCTAAAGTTATTATGCAGAATCTGAAAAAAAATGTATACTGGGTTTTAAAAAATGAAGGTTATGATGTCATACAAATATAGATAGGTCGGTGAAGAATGCAACAGGTCCCATGTATCAATTTAATTTTACATTAGTGCAACCAAAAATACCATCCAATATATGTCTATTCACGCCCTATAAGCAGAACGATTTCTTTTAATGCTAACACTACATACAAAACTGAAAATGACCGCAATGAGTGGCAAAGAATATGTTTTGTGCAATATATAATATTTGGATACAAATTAAACTAGACGTCATTAGAGCATTTAACTCACTAAATGACACTCCGCCTCCTGTATGATTATTATGGAAAAATCCGCGTTTAGATTTGGGAGACCCGAAATAATTGTCATATCTAAAATCAAATTTGTATGTGCAAAATGGCATTCCTTGAAAGTATCATTAAATTTCATTCCGAGGTATACACTGTAAGAGTAGTTCCAGTTATAAGAGATGGATACCCCAAAGAGTACTAGACGGACGGACGTACACACAGAAGAAAGAACATTCACTACTAGTGTATACCCTTCGACTTTTTCAAGCTGGAGTATAATGATCAACTTCAGGAAGTTGTTAAATCGTAATTTATTTTTACGCACCATATGCATCGATTAAATATATGTGAAATCACATTAATGTGTCCCAAATCTATGAATTGTGTAATGCCCTTTTTGTAAATCAAGGTGCTAAGAGATCCATATATGATCAGCATAAATGCTCTTAATATATACAATGTACTACTTGAGGACAGATTCATGTTAGATATAAAATGCGTTTGTTATCTGATTATCTGAAGTTGTTAGTCAATAATTGACAATTTTTATCAATTTTGCTCTACGAGTATATTTAAGACACAATAGAATTTGGATTAATGCCAAAATATTGACCAACTCACTGTATTTGCAAACTTGGTGTTAAAATCTTCCATTTTTCAATTTTGAAAAGAGTTTTTGTTGAGATTTAAATCCTTTATTTATGTATATGGATTATATTGGTGTAATTTAATATTCTTGGTGAAACAAAAAACTATCAGTTGCACATACGATAGGTGACGTATTTCTCTTAACAACTGGGGATCTCAAGATACTCCCACAACTTACAGTGTTTGGAAAGTCATGAGAGACAAGGTAGGACTCTTTTTGAAAATTAAAATAAACCAATTTTAATTTTTAGTAATATAAATAAATAAATAATTTGATAGACTTGTTAGGATGTTGTCAATTTTTAAATATCTTGTTCTCTTTGTGTGTATTATAAAAAAGGACCTATAAAAAGCGTTAAATTAAAACTAAATCTGAAAGTCAATAATATATTTATCAATTCATTAGCAACTTTATGTGTTAAACCTAATATAAATATGCAAGAGTTGATCTAAAAGTTAGTGGAATTTCCTATTAATAAGTTTTCATTATTGAAAATTACGAATGAAAAAGTGTATACTTGTTGAATTTAAAAATATTTTATAAATATTACTGATAGTGGTACTTTCGCTTTGCCATAGAAACAAATGTTTGGAAATGCGATGGAGACATTCACCCGTACATTATCATCTCAATTCTTAATACTTAAAGTAAGAAAAAAACGCGCCATAAGTGTCATTTTAAACAAAAAGTATATCAAATAAATGTAACGATTAAATTTTAGAAAGAAATTCCACGAACTTTTGGATCATGCATTATATATACTGACACGCAAAAGAAACGCAACACCCTATTTTAGGGGGAAATAATTATGTAAAGTAAAGAATTTTGTATCTTAAAATTATGAATATCTTCAATTTGGTAAACATCAGTAAATTAACGGTTGAACGATTTCCATACCATAACCGGAAGTCAAGTTTTAGTCTGCTGAACAGAAATCAAAAATTGCATGTTTAACAAAACATTTGGCAATATTATGGAGTTTTAAGGGATTTTTACTGTTCATCATAAGTAATGCAGCAATATTTCAAAAAATAAACTCTACTTTCGTTTCCCAAAACAATGCTAAGGCTACTTGGAAATGGCTTATTTACGCAATTCCATTGCTATAGCCGGAAAATTTCAATGTAAAGGTGATGGAGAGTTGCTGATGCGAAATTTCACTACATTTCGCCTCAACAGGGTCTTACGTATCATATGCATTAAGGACAGTCCTTGTACCGGAAGTCCAATGGTGACTACACTGCTCTAAGTTAGAGAAAATTCGACCTACTTATCTGAAAAACGGGCATTTAAAAATGTCAAAGAATAATTCCTTCGCTGAGATCTCGATATTATTGAACCTATTGTATCGTAGAAATTAAGCTGCAATTGTTGTTTAGGACAGTCTTGCATGTTTTACTTGAATGGCTGGGAGGGGGGTGTTTTAACAGTCATATTTTACTAAGTAAAGTGAACAGATAAACATTTAACATTTTTATCAAATCTCTGATGTTCTGAAAAGTGAATCTAGCCTTACTTTATTCGCTTTTGAAAATCATAAGATAAAAAATCAAACATTTATAAATAACTGCTTGTTGCGTTTCTTTTGCGTGTCAGTATATATACATGTATACATATACATTTAAATCTTGTATTTACATGTACGATAATCGATCTTTTTCAGACTCTTGTTTGAAAAAGTTTTCCGAGCCATGTATCGCGAAATACGATCTGCTAAAAGTGTTGGGGAGCTTAGAAAGGTAAACAAATGCAAGCTAATTCAGAGAATTTGTGTCCCCCGCTTAGGGAAAAGTAAACCATGCGCAGTTCGGGGTCGGGGGAGGGGGGGTCGGGGGTTCGGATCCTCTTCATTGAATTTGTAGAATTATTAAATGTATACTGAAGCAAATAAAATATGCCAATATGGATATAAAGGTTTGATGGATTATTCTTTATTATGTGTATAGAAGATCCTTTTTTATATGGAATTTTTATCACACTGTAATGATGATATTATGAGTTTGTACAAGGCAGACCTCATAAATTTTTTCATTTCACATGCTGAATACTATCGTTTGGTAAAAAAAAGAAAAGTATTTCGAAAAAAAAAATGCATCGTCCGAGACGCGATCCCGGGCCCTCTCACATGTGAAGCAAGTGACATTACCACTAGACCACGGAGCCACTGTATCATGATGATAATTGTATACAAACATGAAGTGACATACATGTATATATTCACATTCATTTCTATATTGTCAAAATTTTACACAATGTTTGGTGTCTAATTTAACCTTTATTAAACAGTTCTAATAGATGTAATAAGAATATGAAGTCCACCGAGAACCTGTTTTATGCGTAATAACTCTCCTTCAAGCCCCTGTGCTAAAAATAGCGACAGGTAATACAATAAATACTAATAAAACAAACCGGACGGGGTACTTTGAGAGGAGTGAGAGGGGTCCTAGGGAGTTTTGGTATGAGATTACATAGCAAAAGCTCAAATCTTCTTGAAATATCGCCCGGAAATGATAGTGTTTCATCCAAACAGAATGTTTAAATTTACGACCTTGAACTTTGACCTTTTGACCTCAAAATCAATAGGGGTCTTCCTTAAGCCACAGGGAGTTGTTACATAAAATATCATTGCAAAAGCTCAAAGGGTTCTCGAGATATCGTGTGGAAGCGAAAGTGTAATAACAGACAGAATTTGCTAATTTATGACCTTGACCTTTGACCTTTTGACCTCAAAATCAATAGGGGTCTTTTTTAGTCCATAGGAAGTTGCTATGCAAAATTTCATTGCAAAAGCTCAAAGGGTTCTTGAGATATCGTGTGGAAACGAAAGCGTTACAGACAGACAGAAAGACGGACAGACGGACGGACAAACCCAAATTAATATCCCCCACTTTTCAAGCGGGGGACAAAAAAAATTAAAATCTTTACTTGGTTAAAATAGTAACAAATTTAAAGAAAAATTTTATGATACCGGAATACATGTATGTACCATGGCTGCATATAGAATAGGATTTTATCAATCTCACTTTAGGTTTCAAAAAAACCTGTCTACCGTACCGTTGTTTTCAAAACCAAAAACTTTTGTTGACATGCACTACACTGAACTCTATTTAAAAGCCTCAAGTCCTGCAATGCGAATAATTAAGTATGGCAGATATTATTCAAAGTTTTTGTCTCTTTTAACATAAAGAAAGTAAATATAGCAAAAAAGAGATAATTTTATCAATTCAGACAAATCAGCCTGGATTTTTTAGGTGTTTCAAAAAAATTTTAAATGTAAACCTATACTTGATAATAGAATCTCTATGTGTGACCTAAAAATTTCTTTATCGAGAAGGCAAGTACAAAACACATAAATGTGGAGGACTCTTATGTTCTGTGCAGTTATCGATTTTCTTGTGTCTGACATATATGTTATGTAATGGATATTTAAACTTGTCATGATCTTAAAAGCTTATGTTAAATTCAGAATATCTTTTAGAGAAAAGTAAACATGTCAATGATCTCCAACAACTAAGTTTTTTGATATAGATCTTCAGCTAGCCATTTAAATTTTTAACGTTGTAAATTTATCAAGTATCAATTGAGCTTTTCTGGTCAAAATTTATCTTTTGTCTGTCGTCGGTGTTGATGTCGTCAGCATCGTTTACTTTATAGCTCACTTGATATTTCTGATCATATCTTGCCCGTCGTCGTATCATGTCTGTCCCTCCGTCTTCAAACTTTTCACAATTTCGACTTCTACAGAACCACCAGAATCTTCAAAGATCTCTTAACAGCAGCAAAGCCATTAAGGCAGTCAGTAGAGGTACAAGTTTGTACAAACTATGACACCCCCCCCCCCCAGCGGGGGTAGGATGTAGCCACAATGGGTGGACCACATGAGAAAATGTGACGAAAAATATTCTACTCAAGAACATATATACAAGGAAAGATAACTTAGAAAAGACAAAATTCGGGTGAGTTCGTTAAAAAATCTCCTCAAATTAAAAGATTTTAAATTGTTCCAATCATGCCCCCGAAGGGTAGCGTAATGCATATTCAAAACTGTTCTAATCATGTACCCAAGGATAGGGCAGGGGGCACAATAGGGGATCAAATAGTACATATTTCTTTGCTTTTTACAGAAAAAATATTAATATTCGTTGAAAAATATGTAAAAATGTTCTTTTCAAGGACCAGAGGGCCAGAAAAGGTAAATATTATGTCAAAACACCCTTGGGTATTGTAGATTTTATATTGTTCAAATCATGACCCCCGTAGGCAGGGTTGGGCTATATTAGGGAATCAAAGTTTATCATTGATATAATATAATATATTGAGAGAATTAAGGAAAAGCTGAAAATGGCAAAGGTTATTTAAAAAATAAACCTGAACCAGAAAAAAAGAAACTTATGTAGAAGCTTTCTGACATAGAAAGATTAAAGTTTTGCAAATCCTACTATCGGGATATAGGGTGACTGCAATGGGAAATCAAAATATGACATATGAATGCATTTTGACTATACATTTTGTATTTAGAAGCTTCCTGACATGAGCTAATTTGAAGATCAAGATCAAAGTATCACCCCTCTCGGGAGGGTTGAATCACATTGGGCAATCAAGGTTAATAGGAAGGTATTGTGAAAATCTTTAATATCTTCTGAAGACAACAAAACCATAATCAGTCATATTTATTTGAAAACATACACAGGTACCGGTTCTATAAAATTTTCCTAGTTTGAATATTTAATTAAAAACCCCGGGATGCTGTGTTGGACTTTATTAGGTTATCAATTTTTACATAGAAAAAAATACAAAAATTGAGAAAGAAATATGAATATATTTTCACAAAAACTCCCAAATCATGGATTAATCTATTGGCATTGTACATTGAAGCATGTCTTCAAATTAAAGTTAAGTTGGGGTAAAAACGGGGATCGAATTAGAGAACTTCAAATTTGACCTTTACTCAGCAACTTAGGGCCAATGAACAGAGATAGTTTTTAATTGTCGTGCCTACTGTGGCACTGGGCCTCGGTTTTTAAGGTCGCATCCGAAAGACCCGCAACCTTCACTTTAAAGTGCCGAGGCGTCAGGGAACAGTTGATACTTGTACGTATTTTTTATTGACCATAGTCAGTCGCGGCCGAGACCTTACGAACTTCCGAGCACAGAGCGAGATATTTTGCTTTTGTTCCCTCTGATCGATGACCTCTCTAAATATATTTGGATTTTGTACCCTTGCAGTAAAATGATAGCTTTCTTTATAACCTTTGATTGAGAAGAAATAAGGCTTTTATATTTGGCGTGTGCATTACCTATGACAAGACGTTTCTGAGCATCATATTATTTTTTACCCATCTTCATATTTGGTCTTATTATATAAATAACTTTGGTGATTATTTTTGAATAACATATTAATAAAGGTCTTGTTTGGTGAGATGTCAATTATATATTCATTGAATTTGCTTGTATCTAATTGCTTGTATTTTAAGGATTAATACCTTCATTGATAGATTTTTGAGCCTGATAAAGCAAATGAAAATGCATCAGGGTTGTCTAAAAAAGCCTACCGAAGTGACAGCGATTCTCATATTTCCAGTGCAGTAAGTATTAAACTTATAGATCCTTATATCAGAATATTCTTTCAATAAAGTCTTTATATTGGTAACTATGAAATCACTTATTTTCCATAGAGGTCAAATTTTCGAGGTATAGGAAAAATTATTTTGGTTCATAGGGATTTGTTTTCATGATTGAAGAGTTTTCCAGTAGTAATATATCTGAAAAATTGCATGACGTCAAAAAGATATACATTTTCATATTTGACTGCATTCTGAAGCTCCAGTTTTGTGGAAGAGGAACATATTCATTGATTAAAGCTTCTATATATATTACAGTAAATATGTGAAATCAGGAATTTTATGTATTTCCTAAAACAATTAAATAAATACATGTATTAACTGGCCGATATAGGAAATACATGTAACTACTGAATAGCTAGGAAATTTGTGTATTTACTAAAAATTTTAGCTGATTTTACACGTTTTTACTGAATCAAGCTGGATGACTTTACATATGCTATAGGTATAAAACATCCTGTGCGTAAACAAATACTTAGTCTAGTATAAATGCTTTTGAAGTCGCAAATAATAAGAATCGTTTCTAGAAAGCTGACGATATACATTAATTTCCAATTCTGGGCAAGATTCGAACAGTCTGTGCGTTGTATATTTATAAAATTCCATTAAGGTTCATAAACACTTATGATTTTCCAAAGGAAATGTATTTTATAAGTAAAAAAAATACAGACAATCAGATAATAGCATGCAGGACAAAATTAAACAAAAAAGACATTACAACTTGACAAATCTATAACGGAATAATAGATATTTATGTCATTAAGAGTTATATCTCTTATCAGAGTATTCATGATTCTTAAGAAGGAATGCCTTAAGGTATTTCCATCCTCCTTTAATGGCATAAGTTTTTACAGGTAATTTTATTAAATGAATTCATACTCAATAGAAAAATATCTTTTGGAAGAATGCTTTCCATGTGTGTTGAAAAATCATTTTAAGTAAAAGAATTTTAAAAATTTTCATTTTCTTTATTTAATCAATTTTATTGAAAAAAAATATTTCTTAGGACAATAACCTGCTCGTGTGTCTTCTTTGGATATTTTCTTTGTAAAACGGATTCCCTGATATTCACAAATGTATTTATAAGAGAATAATTATTTTTGGAGCTTTCAACATCAGAGTGATTTATTTATACTAGATTTTAATATTTTTTACTAGAAAAATGAAAGCAGTGTGTCATCATATTTAGTTTTGGTATTATTCACAAATGATTATTATTCTTATTTTATAAATGAATTAAGGCCGGTTTATTCAAAACATTATTTATTCACATGATGCGCAAACTGATATAAACATTGAATATACTGTGCATCTGTTCATATTTTATGATTCATAATCTCACCAAAACACAGTTAGTAAATACGTGTAAAAAGTATTTAAAAATTCAGTTAATACGTATTTCCTAAATTTCAGGAAATACATGAAATTCCTGATTACACATATTTACTGTAATATATACATTCATTTTTGAAGAGAGGTAAAATTATGTATATATTTAATCTTGAACAGTTTGTAATCAATCGATTTGTCTTAATATTCAATTAAGGTTTACAAGCCTGCTGGTTTGGATGAAAATGTGCAACTACCGATGAAACAAATTATAGACGACATGGGTGGAAGTGACCCACTATTGCCCAGTGAGGTAAGTATCTCAAATTCTACATGTTTGATAAAATTTCTTTTTTCCATTCACAGTGTGTTTTATAATAATGTTACTATTTTCAATTCTATTTATTTTTATTTCAAATATAATTGTCATATTTTGAAAACAAACTCCTACCGGTACAGTGTATAACATCAAATTCTACATTTTAATCCATGTAACGACATGTATTTGAGTTACAAAAATAGTGCACATGAGGGATTTGTGTTCATCCTCTATGCTTTGTGTATTCAATATTAAATTAGAAAAAAATATAACCAATTAAATTGTTGACATTATCCCTTTTTCAAAAAGACTTCTGAGACGGCTGAAACTTGAAATCTGTATTCGATTGCCGTCTTTTGTAGGCCTAGAAAATAAATGAATTGTTTGCGTTAAATAAAAAAGAATATTGTATAAGTTATTGAAAAGTTTATATGTAAGAATTTTTTTAAAGAAAGTATTGTTGAATCTGGTTTGCGCTGTCTTCAGTTTCACTTATTCAAGAATAAACTTTTCCGGTCTAAAGATTTCATTAAGTCGAATATCTCTATTCAGTCTCACAAATCATTAGAAATATTATTATGTACATGTACTTGAACGGCACAATAATATTTTATAGGCAAAATTACTTAGAATTGCACTTCGTAAAAGATCGTCGTATTAGACCAAATTAGGACATTTCAATCCTTTGAACGACCAATCGGAAACCTGTTTCAGATTTTCATATTTTTTATGATGTATTTATTTTTAAGGGTGTGTGTGTTTTTGTTAACATAATAAATAGGCATGCCATCTCAGCTAGATAAAAGGTTCTCATTTGGTACAAATCATGTTTTTTCTTTATAGGAGTTATTTTCCAAACTTTATACAGACGTATCCAGTTCGCCGCGCCGAAGATCGCCAATTGGCGCCAGCATTGAAAACGTTTGTTTCTCTCCAACATTTAGTGGTTCTCTTGAAAATGTGAAAGAGGAAACTTCATTATCTTTAGTAAACGGTAAAAATATTGAATAAATGCATTACTGAGATGATTTTAGATAAAAATCGAAATAAAATAATCATGGCTGGTTTTTCACAGTTAGTGTAATCAATATTTACTAAGGATTTTACAATTATTATTTTTTTTATTTTTTAGAGAATATACCAAATAATCTTAAAAAAGCATCAAAGAAAGTTCTCAGAAAGCTGGAAAAGGATTCAACAGTCTTTATTACAGGAGATCCTGGGGATGAAAAATCCAAAATAGCAAACCTGTGCGCAGAAGAATTTCATGAATCATGTTCAAATTCTATTCTGATTCGGATAAACAGAAATTCCCAATTTCCTGATTTAAAAGCTTTGAAAAATTACTTATTAGTTATTGATGGTCCTTTTGACCAAATAGACACTGCATCGGATATTAAATTTATCCTTCGAAAAATTCAGGAAAATGTCCAAAATGAGGAAAGTACGTGTAAAATGATAGTTGTTATGCAACGGGAGACTTTTGCCTTTGTAAAAACTTATTTTAATAGAATGGAATGGCTTCAATATGATCAAATAATTGATTTATCAAGCTCTTTCGGAAACAAAAGTTCCAAGGAAGATCTTATCAATCACATCACAAATATGGATGGACATTGTTTACTGCTGTTGGGGGCAATTGCAATGACCGATGGGACACTTCAATGTCGAAGGTTGCATTGTGCAAATCAAGAAGATTTGTTATGGCACAATGTCTCTGTTTTTGCAGGAGTCTCTTTTCAGAATTCAAAGATAAGATTACTATGTAAAGTCGCATATGCGTTAAAAGGAATATACATAACAGAAAAGTCAGATTCGTACATTTTCATAAATGAGACGGTGTCCGATGCTGTTCATTTATCTCTCTTAATGATAAATGGGCTGAAGTATATGGAAGAATGTCCGCTATCTAAAATATCGTTATACTCAATATGTGAGATGACACAAACATCTATGTATGAAATCTTTGAAAAACGTGTCATACGTGAAATGGGGAAAGAGTTCCCAAGACTTGTTGAATTATTAGAAATGGAGATCTGGCAGAAAGAAGATATTGTTAAGAAGATTGGCCCAAAACTTGTTAAATCTGTTTTATCTTTAAAAGAAAACATTTTAAAGACATTTTTGCAGCTAATATACAGAAACAAGCATATTCCTCTTTTGTCATACTTTTTCATTGCATTGCCAGATTTGAAATACAGTTTACAGGATAAAACAATTGTCCTCGATACCTGGACCGCAGGAAATTCAAAACATTTGTGTTTATGTCGCGAACAAATTTTAAATTTCGAAACAAAGAGTGCTCAGTCAAAAGCTGATATTTGTGAATATATTGCCTGTCCGTTGATCAGTGATTTGGTAATAAAGGAGTTCATATATTCCCCAGACAGGCGTACTTTGTATTCAGATAGTGTTTCTCCGGCAACAGATCTACAAACGTTTATGTTAAAAAAGCGAGAAAGGAATGGAATAGTAAAAGGGCGATGTAGAAGTTACGAAAATAACTTTGAGTGGGAAACATTACATTTGTCAACAATATGGAGGGAAAAGGCGCATAATTTAAAAACATTCTGTAGACTTTTGTACGGATTAGACAATGAAGAAAACTATAAAACTTTAATGTTCAGAATCGGAAAAGAATTGTTTGAAAAATGGTACATAGAGATAGCATTCAACCAAACAGATACCAGATCGAAAGTGGTTAGTATATATCCTGGATTAAAAGACTCAAACTGTTTTATGACGTCAACAATCATCGAAATTGTGAAAAGAAAGTTCAAAGTTTTTCATACCCAACTTGAAGTTTTAAATCTTTGGACCGGTACACGATGTAGAAAAGACAAACACTCCCACGAAGGTATCGACACGATCGTGGCAATTGTTAAAGAGAGAATACTCCCAATAAACGATACATTCTTTGGACTACACGTCGTAGTTCGAGAGGAACGTCAAGTGAGCCAAGAAGCTTCAGATGTTATCTTTCAAACTTCGAGTTGCTTTGGAGGTTCTAAATTAAAGGAAATAAAAGGAATTACATTTAATAGCCTTTTAATGAAGCACACTAATATAACACTCATAAGTTTCTCGCAAGTTATCTCTAGGGCTTATGGCAAAAAGAACGCTAACATTGTACACTCTCCTTGTGTAGTGATATACTGTAGAGTGAAAGGCATCGTTCCACTAGGAGAGGAGGAATTTCCTCGAAAAATCGACGGCCATCCTATTGATGTCCGTGAAGGTTTCTGTGAATTTGCAGTCGATGCTATACGAGCTGGTGACAAAGTCACGTCGGAAAAACGTGAAGGGACTGGTACTTTAGGCGCCTTTGTTGATTATGCTGAATCAAGAAAGAACGCGTTCATAACATGTGCACATGTTTTATATCCAATTAATGAACTAAACGAACGACTCAAGACGTTATCGAAAAAAAATGTTAAGAATGTGTCAATTAATTTGGATGGCCAATGGCACTCTATTGGCAGGATAAAGTTTGCCTCTTTTTGCAATACCCAAGCTGATGAGATCAGTATTGATGCAGCACTTGTAGATTTAACTGATTTTTCTTATGTAAATGATGGAAAATTTTCTGAAACATATTCAGGACAACAGTTAAAGCGAGCAGGTTTGTATGCCAAGCAAAACTCAATATTATTTTTTATCTTTTTTGTTGTCATTTAAACTATTTATCTTATATATTGTCACTTCAATCTTGTACATCTTTGCACCTTTTTCGACTAATAGTATATTTGTCTAAATAATTAGTTTTATTTGAATATTAGAAAATGACTATAATTTTTTGTTAAATCTGCTATTTTTCCTTAAATACTTTCAATATTTTTTTTTTATTTTATAGGAATAGAAAATGAAGACATATCTTTTTCCTCCGGTGAGACTGATATTTTGAATGAAGGAATTCGTGATAAAATTTTAATAAAAGTAGGAGCAGAAAGTGGACTTACAGTAGGGACACTTGGAGAGAAATGTTCCTCTAATATAGACATTCTTAACGAAGATGGTTCCTTTCGGTTTACCCTTCATAACCAAACGGAAATTCTACCGATTTCAGTTTACAATCAGCCATTTCTTAAAAGTGGTGATTCTGGGGCCTTTGTTTTTGCAGTGGAGAATAGAAGACCATTGGAACTTAAGTGTATTGGGATGGCAGTAGCCTCGACTTCTTTTGGGTCGTGTATTATGACCCCGATAAATCCTATTTTTAAGGCTTTGGACCTTCCTCAGAATTGCCTGTCCTGCTACAGAAATCAATCTGTAGAGCGTGTTTCGGGAGATCCTACATATCAATTACTGCTTGAATTAACGGGTAAAGTAGACACTGTCATTGAAGACAATAAAAAATTGTCCCAGCAATTCACAAATTTTGAGGTAAAAATAAACGATAGAGTTACCAATCTGGAAAAGAAGCACCAGGACTCGAATAATAACTAAACATATGAACACAACCAAAAAAATTATCTAAAGTACAACAAGTAGTTGTCTTATATGCATTAATGTGCAAGCGTATTTATATTCTTATTCTTTTTTTTCATTTCCTGTAAAAAAGTAATAAAAATGAATATTTGAAATCGGTATACATGAGCAGTTTTTATTATTTGAAACGTCCGACCTTCATTCAATTTTTTTTTAAATTTATTTTTCCATCTTATTACAAACATATTAGTACAATATAAGATATTTCTTATTAAATTTTGCTTTTGCTACATATAGTGAGTGATAATAAAAACACCAAAGCTTTACAGCTTTAAGTGTTATACACAAAACAATGTATGAATTATTGACCTTAAGGAGGATGTTTACTTAGGTTTCAGAAATCAGAAAGAAAATTTTATAAAATATAATATGTTAAATAAAAAATTGTTCTAAATGGATAAAATTACTAAGTTTTATCTCAATATCAATTTAAAAATTTAATATTTCATCATTTGAAGAGAATATCCAGGAACAAATTTCAATGTATGGTAATTCAGAGGTAATTCGGACTACACTTTTAATTTTTCTTTTTTGTCAAAATCTGTTATTTCTTACAATATTAATCACAAAGTAAATGTTACATGTATTTTAAGACATCATTTTGAAAATATTATATGTGTTAAAGCTCATGACTTATTTCAAATAATTGAATGCTATGAAATAAAGAAATTAAAAAATATGTACAAAAACTATTATAGACAACTTATCTCACTAATTTGATCATTGACCCCATATAATTAAAATACCTTGAGAATTAGGGCAACAAAAGTAACCCGAGGCTATAAATAATTTATAGTTCTTATCATTCAGATTTTTGTAATATTCGATTAAAAATGGGGAAAAATATAAATATGACAGAGGAAATTCGAGCTGTAAAAATTATCACGTTTATGGCCCAAACTCTTATCATTTTTTTATATGAAGCATCGCTGTTCCATTGCTATACTATTTCATTATTTAAAGAGTTTTGCTGCTTGTTATATTTTGTGAGTGAAGAAAAAATTGGCCATGGTGTGAAAAATTTAGGTATTATACAAGAAATACTTAGGGGCCACTAGCATGAAAAATTGGTCATTGACCTAGTAATTTGAAACTGAAATTTAACACAAGAATCATAGGTGTAAAATGTGCAATAGGTGGTTTTCCGTTATTATCAGTGGAATTTTTAGTCATCTGATTAAAGGTATGCCTTAATCTCTGACATTTTACCTTAATGTCTGAAGACCATAAAAAGCTGTCAGTTTAAATTTTATCGAAGAAAGATAAAAAATTCAACATAACAGGGTCCTCTTTGGGTCTTCATATATAATTCCATAATATAAGATGAATCACTTTTAATTTTAATATAATGTCTTGAATTCAAGGTGTTAACACATAAGAATGCATGAATTTACAACTTTCACCTATAACCTTTTGACCTTAAAATCCATAAGGATTTTCTTACAGCATAGGAGTTGTAATATTAAATATTGAAGAAGTTCAAAGGCTTCTTTACATACTGAAAGTGATAAAAAACAGAATGTTTGGATTTGACCTTTTGACTTAAAAATCAATAAGGGTAATCTTTAATTTGGGTCATAGAGAGATGTGTCATTAAATTTTCAATGCAATAGTTCAGTTTTCTTTCAAATATCGCCTGGAAGCGATAGTGTAACACATGGTTGGAATGTTTTGATAAATGACCCTAATCTTTGATCTCAAAATCAATAGTGTTTTTTTGGCTATACAGAGTTAAAACATTAAGGTTAATTGCATAATAGATCGTGGGCTTATTGAGTTATTGCCTTGAAACGGAAGTGTTAGATACACTACAGAGACAGCTAGATTGGCAGCAGACGGAGGTATCCTTAATTCGTAAGAAATGGTATGCCTTTTCACAGAAAAATACAACTTGATGGCATCTACTTGGCTTTTGAAGTTTATATGAAATCAAATAAAACCGTAGAAGAAATGTCATTTTGAAAACATAGGTGATCAGAGATTACGAAGCTCACCTCGACGAATGTTATCAGTTTAAGTATTGCCAACCTCACACCATATTTTCATGAATATCTATCCTGACAATTGTATTCATGCATGTTGTTTAATTAGTTCATTAAGTTCATTGCGGATTGTCCTGTTAAAAAAAAACTTGGTAGCTCATTTGTAAAATGAAAATCAGAATCAGCATCCGAATCAAGTCTTGATAGTACATCGTTAGATGCATCATCCATTCAAGTTAAATCATAACAGATCATGAAATTAAAGAGGTACTCCAAAAACATTAAACAGGTTACTCATCTGAAAATGTAGTCCAAATCCAGCATCCGAAGCTATTCTAGTAGTGTACATCCCTGGATGCATCATCCATGCAAGTTTGGTCCAGGTAGGACTTATAGTTACTTGGGAATAGACCTGCTCCAAAAACTTTTATTTGGTCACTTATCTTGAAAATGAAGGTCAGATCCAGCATCCGAAGCAAGTCTGGTTGTGTCCTTTCCTAGATGCATGATCCATGCAAGTTTGGCCTGGGTAGGGCTTATAGTTACTTAAAAATAGACCTGCTTGAAAACCTTTAACGTGGTCACTCAACTGGAAATGTAGGTCAGATTCAGCATCTGAAGCAAGTCTGGTAGTTTCCATTCATAGATGCATCATCCATGCAAGTTTGGTCCTGGTAAGACTTAAAATTACTTGGGGATCCGAATGGACCTGCTCCAAAAATTTTGACCTAGTAACTCAACAGGAAAATGTAGGTCAGATCTAGCATCCGAAGCAAGTCTGATAACGTCCATCCCTAGTGCATCATCCATGCAAGTTTGGTTCAGGTAGGGCTTATAGTTACTTGGGAACTGACTTGCTCCAAAAACTTTAATCTGGGACACCAACACCAGGGAAAAAGCAGAAACTCATCTCGACTCCGTCGAGATGAGCTAAAAAGTGCTTACAATTTTGATTTCTGACGAGTACAACTAATCAACTTTGAGTATTAAGTTAAGGTTTAACTTAAGTATTTTTCAAATTTTTGTACGTGCCTGGAAAGTGTCCTTAAATACCTTTCTTGAAATTAACTATGTTTGGCAAGTTTCTTGGGATCTGCATTTTAAAGGAACCACTTGCTTTAATGTACAGAGTTCTACATTTATTCGTAACTAATTTCTCTTTACATGTTTCGAAAAGATAAGTATTAAATGTTTAAAAAGAAATTCGTACATATGTGAACACATACTGTATCGGTAAAACAAGACACATATGAGGACGTAATATATAAAATTTTAACCAATAAGCTTTTTTAAAACTTTGAACAAAAATGTAGAAGTAGAGTTTTCATAGCACGTCATAGAGATTTTTCTTATAGTAATCATCGCAACACCATTTAGAATAGCAAAACGGAAGTCATTCGTATTATATGTACCTATGTGGAGGTTATTTGTGTATCGAAATATTTAATACGAATTTTAATTTTTATATCAATGCAATATCTAAGATCAGGATACAGAATACATGTAAATAAGAGTCTCCTTGTAGGATAAGTAAACTTGAAATTGGGTAAAATCAGTTAATGAAGGATAGATTATTATACTTCTTGTCATTATGCAAAGTCACTTGAAAAAATGAACCAACTAATTTGTCTGTATGGTATTTTTTTTTAATTCTTGACAGAGTAAAATCATATATGATTCTTGTAGATTTTTAAAACTATAGCAAAACCGTTGAAATTTATATAGATAAAAAAAATAAACGGAAAAGTATCCTATTTGCGTAACATGAATGATATGGAAAAATATGGGGAAAACGTTGTAAAAAATATTTTTCGAAACATCGGACACATTGACACATAAAGAGGTGGGCAATGGACAGTTTTATTGCACAACCTCCAATTGTTATCCCTGTTAAGTAGCGCTACATCAAAAGGTAAAATTCTGTAACATACCTATGTAAAATTTTATACATATACAAGGTAAAATCCCATACAAATGATGATGTAGAGATCAGTTGTTTGTGATCTTCAATTTAAAGAAAAGATCCTTCTCATGTATGGAGTTTCACAGAGGGACAAAAGGATACATGTCTGTAAACGATACATATCAAAATAACCAAGCCTTTTCTTCATGTAAAGCATTACGCAATGCTTCTTTTTGTATATTTATTTTATTTCAGAATACACGTATAAAAAGTTATTACCTTCATATCTCGATTGTATTTTATAATCTGTACTTAATTCAAAACCTGACTCGCATTGTGTCCTATGTTCACAATACAAATTGTCTCCAAAACAGTAACACGAACCATTTATAATGTACTTGGAGGAATGCTACTTAACATAACAAAGGAACCCGGAAGTCAAAATCAAAGAAGTGGGATATATATATTTCTCAATGTGCACCTTAATTTACTACTGTGGTAATTAATTTTGGATTAGGAAAAAACTGTCTCAGTAATAATATTTCCTCTCTACATACAGTCTATCCGCATAAAGGAAAGGAATTATTTTTACCTATTCCAGTTATTATGTATGTAGGTGAAGAAAAAAAAATTATTATCAAACACAAACTGTGTTACTCATTTCACTCATGTTTTTATGCGATTAGTATATATCAATGTTCTTCAGAAATGGACCTGTCGTTTTGTCGATTGTAAATGATAATCAACTTACTACATTACATATGAAAACATTTTAAGATGCACTTCGTGCAAGTAAATCTATTGTTTATCTCGTGATTTTCAAAGGGAAAGAACATCCTGATGTCTGAGATCTTTTTAACGTATGATTGTTACTGTAACTTTTATGTAAAATAACTTCTACCACCTCAATCAACTTAAGGACAGATGATATAAAAAAAACTTTTGTCAACAAATATGAAAATAACAACTTGAGTCATGTTCTAATGAGTAAAATGCATAAATTTCACAGCGTAGTTTATAATTTTTTATTCAAATTCTCAAAGAAATGGGATTTGAGGTGAAAAATATTTGTA